ATTCCAACGCATCCTCACGAATAAGATTTCGAACTATGTGACTTGCCAGATGTCATTTCAGTTTGTTTAGGGTGAGTTTACATCAAACGTTATCGCTAGCGACTGCTTAAAATGTATGACACATTGTAAAGCGTCCCTAGCGGATACTTTCAAGTACTAAAATCCTTATAGATTTTTTAAAAGCACTTGTTAGCCACGACGTTCGATGCAAACTCGCACTAAGCACAGTTAACTTTCGCTCTACTTTATCTGACATCAAGGTACCTACGAGTACTTTGTTTTCTTAATTATACAATCTTTCAAATATAGTTTCTTTGTATTTTTATCGCGTGTTTACTTTCAAAAGTTGTTACTAGCAGCACTAGCGCGGACAAGCATTGAACGTAATAACCGATGCTTCACAAACAAGCGGGGCCATTATCCTGTGTAGGGCGACATCATAAAAATGCGACAGATCGGTATGTGTGCCCGTGTTGTTGTTCCAAGATTTATTTATGTATTTTGGTTGCATGAAATACCTACATAAAACTTTATAATCTAATTATGATTAGGCATTTTAAACTTCACAAATGTTTGATAGCAATGCGCTTGCATTACGTGCTTACGTATCAAATAAATACAATAATAATATAATAAGTTACCAAAAATCCCGTTAGACTCGTTGCGATTTATAGTACCTACCTAAAATGCAATATGAAAGTTTAAAATTTTACACATAAATTAGTCAAATGTGACGATTAATAACATCATTGCATTGCTATGTAAAGCTCTATCATAAATAAGCTATTAAATCCAAACCTTTTTAAACATTGTATACCACTTGCTTACAAAAACTGGATAGCTTCTGTCAAAATGGGTATCCCTGCAGCGAAAACATCAGATATGGTTATTTTAAGCAAAAATCAAAATGCCCAAATCGAATCACACCGTCGGGAGCAACTCCCATCTTGACAGATGTGTGCGAAAGAATAATACCATCTCAGCTGATCTCGAGGGGGCTCCATCTGCGAGTTGCGACCGATCCGAATTGCGATGTTGCATAAGGAATCGATGCAGTCATCTCGAGTCCCTTCTGAGAATCGATTGCTTGCAGACGTGTACTGTCTGTTATGGATCGAGATATCGAGGGATCTAGAATGCAATGCTCCACACAAAATCATATTTTGATTTCTGAGAGCCATTTTATATATTTTATTTAAAACAAGGCAAACCCTTTCTTGGATATCATTTTCAGGTTTTTATGAAACTCCCGTAATATGAAACCAACTACTAATAACTATAAATACTACTGCTATAACCTATGTGCGAGTATCTATTTATTCAAGAGAGTTTTTGCCCGCGGCTTCACCCGCGTGAAATTTAGTTTGTCACAGATCGTCATAAATTTTAATGTTACTAGCTTTCCGCCCGTGGCTTCACCCGCGTGGAATTTTGTCTGTCACAGAAAAACTTTATCGCGCGCGTCCCTGTTTCAAATACCGGGATAAAAACTATCCTATGTCTTTTCCCGGGACTCAAACTATCTCTATGCCAAATTTCATCAAAATCGGTTAAGTGATTAAGGCGTGAAAGCAAGACAGACAGACAGAGTTACTTTCGTATTTATAATATTAAGTATAGAAGTATAGATTAGTATATGTAGATTCTGGGTTATAAACAATAATCAAAATACGTTCAGTAGTTTTTGCGTGGAAGAGTAACAAACATCCAAACATCCATATAAACTCTGGCATTTATAATATTAGTAAGAAGATAAGATAATATGACCGTCATGATTTGTAACAAACACGGCAGATCTCGATTGTACAGTACTTTGAAGATCTAAGGCTGAGTTGCACCACCTAACTTTGACCGTAACTATGACGATAACCGGTGTTTTTTGTACGGAGTTTAGACAGATTTTTGACGTTTGCCAAAGTTAAAGTAGGATGGTGCAACTCAGCCTAAGAGGCTAGCTCTTAACTGTGGTAATGATGTCAGTCTTTACGGGCCGCCAAAGTCTGAGAGCTCAATTCAACCGTAACATGGATCATTTTTCTTCTTTTTATCAATATATCAACCCATCACTACCCATGTACTCTTCATAGCATCTTAAATATAGATATTTCAGCGTCAGTATTAAATATTAGGAATTGTCCGGGACTCTGGAAAAAGGACTTTTATAATATCACACTGCATATTCTTTCAAGCTTTTATTCTATTCTATTTTCTTCACGATTTGGAGATTTGCAAGGGGAAGATCTTGTAAAATTGAAAGCAGAGTTTAAAGTATTTTCTTGTAAGAATAAATCTCCAGAGCTTTAAGAGAATGAATGATGGTTATTTAAATCGATTTTACTTTGTACGATCGATACTTTACTTTGTAGAAAAGACTACAACAAAAAATGAGAATAGGTCGGTCAAAATTCGTGAAAACGCCAGATAGAGTAAACGATTTCAAATTTTGGCCAGAAAAATTATATCACTAACATGAAAGAAAGAAAAATATATACAGGGTGTTTCTTGTAAGGTGTCAAGCCGAAGGCAGGTGATAGGTGAGAACTAGACCTATCGATTTCACCCCCATGTATGTTCTACGATTTTTCATAGTTTAGAAGTTATCGTTAATTTTGTGATTTTTTCAAATTGTATGACCCAGTAGGCTTTAAATTTTTTTATCTTTTTTTTGGGTCGACTTTTCTCAGATTTCTTTTTTTCCATTATATCTAAACTAACACGTTCGAACGCTGAGTTAGCAGTTGACGTTATCGTCAAAGGCTCTTTAAAATGTCTATTCGAAGACTTTTGTATTTGACAACTTTTACATCGCTTTACATACTTCATGACGTCATTGGACATTCCTGGCCAGAAGTAATATTTTTTGATATTATTTATCATCCTATTTATTCCTGCATGTCCACTTGTGGGCAAGAGGTGAAAGTCATTTAAAATCGTAATAATTTCATCTTTATCATTTATTCTTTTTAAGTCTTTGATAATTAAAAATCTTGGTGACGTTATTTTACATTTATTTATGCTGCGCAGCAAATATGTAATGTATTTACAATTACTCTTATTTTTAGTTATGAGCAATTCTTTAATATTTAATTTTAAGCACATTTTTTCTAAATCTCTCGCTAACTCCTCTGGGGATGATAACGATCGAGAATAAAGAAATATCGCGGATTGCGATGGGACGTACGTGCAATATTTTGTTTTTAATATTTGTAAGTTATTTGCAAATTTTTGACTGTCGGAAAAACGCAACTCGACTACATCGTTTGGTTTTTTAAGTACTTCCACAGCCGCAGGTTGATCAGGCCCGCAAGCTGGAGGAAGGTTGTCAGTCTGTTGGTCTCCTACTTGAGTCATTTTACGTTTGCTTTGAGCTCTAGTCAAAACCGATACTACTTGTTCGTGCATATCTTTTAAGTCTTGTGAGGTCACCTGAAGTCGACTTAACGCATCTGCAGCTGCATTATTTCGACCAGGGACGTACTCAACAACAAAGTCGTATTCCTCTAAATATAAACGGAATTTAGTTAAACGACTGGATGGGTCTTTCAATCCGAATAAATAAACGAGAGGTCTATGGTCAGAAAAGATTTTAAACTTTCGGCCGTATAAGTAAGGACGAAAATGACGAACAGCCCAAACTATGGCTAATAGCTCTAATTCTATCACTGGATATCTAGTCTCGGCTGGCTTTAAGCTTCGACTAGCATATGCGATTACTTTTCCATTTCCATTTGATAATACTGCTCCAAGACCTAATTTGGATGCATCCGTCTGTAATTTGAAGATATTATTTTCCGAAAAATCTGGATAGTCTAATACGGGAGGGTTCATAAGTGCGGATTTTAATTTATTAAATGAAATTTCGCAATAGCATATTTTTTATGTTTCTAGCAAAAATTTTGTATCTTGCATCAAAGATAGGAAGTTGATTATTTTTTTCAAAAATCTGCAATCAATAGGGAATCTGTCAAAAAAAAAGAAATCTGAGAAAAGTCGACCCAAAAAAAAGATAAAAAAATTTAAAGCCTACTAGGTCATACAATTTGAAAAAATCACAAAATTAACGATAACTTCTAAACTATGAAAAATCGTAAAACATACATGGGGTTGAAATCGATAGGTCTAGTCCTCACCTATCACCTGCCTTCGGCTTGACACCTTACAAGAAACACCCTGTATAGTGATACTAAATTCTACTCGAATGTTAATTTGTTTATAGATATGATACAACTAAAATAATTTTCAGGAACAAAAACTTGCAGTAATACACATTAAATAAGCAAGGAAATTATAAAATAAACATTACCTTTGAAAGAACTTTCCTCATACGTGCAACTATAATTTATGAAATCTCCTTGGGATTTGTGATGTGGATCTTATTTATTTTATAGCAAAATCCCGTTTCCTTCCCCTTTGTACGTCATATTTACATTTATTTGCTATTTTATTATACGAGCATTTGCATGTGTGCGTCTACGGACTGCGTACAATGTTTATTAATAGCAACAACAAAAAATAATCAATTTTGGGAACAAAATGGGAAGAAGTAATTTATATATTTGTGTGGCGCACTGGTAGTGCAAAACAATATAATGAGACATGTAAAGGCTTATTAAGAGCATTTTAACGATTTGTAAGAACTAAAATAATTATTTTAAACAAATAACTATTTTATGAATTTAACTTTGTATGAATGATAAACTGTAGATTAGGTACTAAATATTTGGGCTTTTTCAAGGCGAGAGTGAATAGATACAGCGCAGATAAATGTGCCATCATAAACTGCACATCACTTACATATCAGATACGATTGCGGTCAAGTGTCTGTCCTGTCTTGTTCTGCATAAAAAAAATGTCAGTTTTAGGTAAAACTTTAATACCTAAATATGGATATTTTTTTCACTATCTAGAGAATAAACTAGAGGTAGATTTTATAGACTTTCATAAGCATCTTAGAAATAATAAACTTGCAAAAATGTTAAGATAGTTTCTCTTTGTTGCAGGCCTGCTCTTCCACAGAGCTATCCTAATGTCAGGGTCCGGACTGAGCCCCTGGTCTCTGGTCGCGGATCCCAACAAGTACGCCGCTATAGTAGCGACGCATGCCAACTGCTCTCCTGGTAAGTTGTTGCTTAGATCAGTGTTTTTCAACCTGTGGGTCACGACCCCTTGGGGGGTCGCGAAGCCTCTATAGGAGGGTCGCGAGAAGTCGTAAAAACTACCTCAGTAAAAAAATCAGTAAAGTTTTAAAGATAGATTTATTAGAAATCTAATTATGAAAATGCGTAAATGTTGTATGGATTGAAGTATTCGTTCCCTACAACATCTTTGTAACATTATGTGTCATGAAAAAGGTTGAAAAACACTGGCTTAGATTATTACCTAACCGAAAGCAGGTAAAGGGTCTAGCTAGAGAGAAAAAAATCTCCCAGAGATCGGTCATTAAAGCTCTACCCCCTTTTCATAAAAAGTTACACCCAGGACGAAGCCTGAATTAAAATGACATTTCCATACTAAATGACAATAAAATTTAAGAAAGACTTCAACTGGGTGTAACTTATTATTAATAAGGGGGCCAAAGTCTATAGCTTCAAAGACTGATTTTAAAGTAGGTAGTTTAGTTTGGTTTAGTGTAAATATTTTTTCGAGTACATCTAGTCAGTTTTCTTCATAATCTGGGGGCACGGCAGTGCCCCCACCAAGTCGAGCAAAAAAGCGGAACGGCCGTACCATCCTTTTCTCGAAGCAATTCAGGCCATTTTCGACCGCCTGTAATTCAAATTCAGGATCACCGGAGCAAGTTACTTTTTCATGCAAATATGTTAACAATGAAGGTAGCCATAAACTAAAAAATGATTAATTTTTGTCCAGAACTAACGCCACCAGCGCTACTGCGGTGTTTGCGCGAGCGACCACTGGAGGCGCTGTTGTCAGCGCCTGTGCAAGCGCCTGACTTCGCCTACGCATTTGGTCCGAGCGTAGACGGGGTTGTTATAGGTGAGTTTATATTTACAACAGGCTTAGTAAGTAATAAGTAATGTAATTCTTTGAAATGTTATCGTTTAAAAAACATCTAGGAGAACCAAAGTAACCGACGTAGCCCACACAACTGCCACACTAAGGCCCAGTTTTTTGATTCATAGTTAAAATAACTAATTGTTAAATTTTGCTACTAATGGTTAAATATTAATAAAATGTAAACAATTAGTTAAAAAATGTACTAAAAGTCAAGCTAACCATTGTTCGAAAAACATTTTTTTCTGATATTTAACCACTTGTCATTTGACATCTGTCAAATTTGACCATTGGTTAATTTAACTACGAATCAAAAAACCGGGCCTAAGTGGTATTGAGCGATGCATATGGATAACGTAGACAGGCCTTTGCCTGCCATTCGGTGGACCGATATCTATTAAAGGTCACCGGAAACAACTAACGACTGAATGCGGGTAAAGCAGAAACGGTCATATTGGAAATCCTTGAGGGAAGCCTTTGTCCAGCAGTGGAAATCCTTTGTTACAAACACGAACGATCGGCCAATTTAAAATTTCCTCCTTCAAAACCTTGAAACTTCTATAATAAAATCGCGCCATGTAAAAGATTGGATGTACAAACTGTCCAACCCGTCCGACTCAATTATTTCCGCGTGAACTCAAGTCGCGAATAAACAAATAACACCGCGTTACAAAGAATATACGAACAAAGTGCGTGACTAGAATACTTAAGGAATAACTGCGTTAGTAGACAGTACAGAGAGAAGTAGTAAGCCATCTTTTCTACTTCTCAGCACTGGCCCATTTATTGTCCCGAAGTAGCGGTAGGCTTAATACTGGGACGTGTAAAAGTGATTTTAAAAAAAAAAGCCTATTTGCAGAATGAAATGAGTTTTAAAATCAAGATGATGGATATGAAGACTTACACTGTATGTTCAGCGTTTTTGGGATACATCACAATGCATACATGCCACAGGTAAAATTGAAATAAGCGCCTTTGGGATATATACATGCCATAGGTAGAAAAGTAAGGTAGGTAAGCCGTAAATCAAAATGAAGAAGTTCTGCTTTGGATTGACAGACTACAGAAGAAACGAAATTATCTAACATAATATCCTGTTTTATTTAAAAATAACTTAGGACTCGAACTTCGTGAAGTTATCCTAAATGCTAAAATCTCCTTGATCTGGGGGCACGGCAGTGCCCCCGCCAAGTCGAGCGCGAAGCAAACACTGCCGTACCATCCTTTACTGGAACCATTTCGCCGCATTTTCAGGCCCCTATTTGAGAACCTCTGGATGAGACCAGAACGCAGAAATTTTCGTCATCTAGTAAGCTATAATCACATACTTTAAATCCAAAATTTCAAGTCTGTAGGTCATTTAGTTCCGAAGTTAAGCGAAAGCAAAGTTTCGCATTTACGACACTCACTCACTCACTGATGATCATCAAAATAGAACTAGTACTTCCCATTAACTCAGAGAGCTGAAATTTGGTACAGAGTTAGGGTTTAATGGCCATATAAAGGGAAAACTATAAAAACAAGGAAAATCGAAGATCTGGAGTAACCACATTCATAATCAATACTACTCCGGCACCGTGGTGTTCGCCCGTATCGCTCACCGCTAGATGGCGCTAGCACTAGCAAGCGGTGTCCAGATTTTTTTCCTTTCTAGAGAAAGTCGTCGATTAAGTTGAATGTTGTGTAATTTGCATTTCGTTGATTTCGTTTATTATACTGTAAGGTTCGCTTAGGTTATGTTATTAAAACAATTCTGATTCGTTGTCCATTTTAAAGGTCGTTGAGTTTATTTGTGTTTAATATCGTAAAAAAATGTCGATAAAACGACGACGTTAAATAATTTTGCCACGTTCTACAAAAAGAAGTGAAATCCCACCAAAAACATTCTGTAAAAAACTAGCCAAGTCTCGATGGAGCTGCTTGTTTATCTCTAAAAAGTAATGAAATCTAGACAAAGTCGTGCCAAGTCTATGGTTCCTTACTGCGATTTCTTTATTATTATAGTTAATGTTGTGTGACTTGGCCGTTGAACAATCTTTATTAATATAATCATACATTATAAATACGCAGCTTTACTGAACCTACAATTGACTGGTTATTGTTGAATCAACGTTTTCCAAGTGGAAATTTTCCATCGTCAATGGGTAGCGGTTCTGGCGACAGATTGGTGCAATGGTGTCATGGAGCACCTGGTTTTGTCACCCTTCAACGGCCAAGTCACACAACATTAACTATAATAATAACGAAATCGCAGTAAGGAACCATAGACTTGGCACGACTTTGTCTAGATTTCATTACTTTTTAGAGATAAACAAGCAGCTCCATCGAGACTTGGCTAGTTTTTTACAGAATGTTTTTGGTGGGATTACATATTACTTCGACCTAGATATGTCTATCAATTTTACTGATAACTAGCCTAGCCTAAACAAACACTGCTTCAATACAGTTATGGAACAGAATATCCCCAGTGTTTGTTTTGTCAACTTAGTCTAGCCACGGGTAGGCTTTATCTAAGATATCCCTCTTTTCATGTTCTAAGCTGTAGATTGAATTGTAATCTTATACCTACATCCCTTTTTCTATTGCTTCAACCACACCAACGCGTTCAGAGTGCCTTCGCCAAAAGCCAATGATAGGTCGCGTGAACTGTCATAGGTCGCGCGACCTGTCATCGGCCTTTGATCGCGCCGGCGATGGCGATCTGCACGCGTTGGTGTGGTTGAAGCTTATCACTAAGCCTTCTGGGTCTTCATACTTTGTGTCATAACACCAGGAATTACAGGTTTTCCTGTTGGCGAGGAAAAATTAAGAACTGTCACCGAAAAAGATTTGATAAAACAAGCTAATTAAAAGGTAACGTTGCTTCTACAGGGGTTCTTATTAGGCCCACAATTGCTGAGGTTGTAATGAATTTGGAAGAAAAAATAAATGAAGAGGCTTATTTTGCAGAATGCGGTCACATTGTTCGATATTTTTAGTATTAATTAAAAGAGGTTGGACACTAATTGAGAATAATAAGCTTGGAAACGACACGATTTGGCTACAAATCCAGCAAAATTCATTTGTTTGAAACATGGTAGGTATTTGGCCCGCAGTCTTAAACAAGTTTAACGCCTTACGCGCACCACTTAGCAAAGTGAAATAACAAACAGACTATTAGCTAAAAGCCTCAAGCATATTTCAGTTAAAAAGGAAGTAATTTAAAAAATAATTTGCGTTATCATTGTAATGAAATGAATAAAATTAAAAAATAAGGAAAGACTGAAACGAGATTCTCAAGATAATCAAGCTTCGGAGAAAAAAATATTAATTTTTCCTTAAAAGAAGAATAACAACTTTTAATTAATAAAAATACAAGCTATCTTATTAGGACCTGGTTTAAACATTTTCGTACTAATTTTACTAAATGGCGAGTTACATGATTATCTCATAATCATAATTAGTTTGTAAGATGTCTGTGTTTTAACAACATGCTGACTGAATAATAATACCCTTATTAACTCCTCCAAGTAATAAACTAAATAATGTAAATAAATATTATTATTAAGAGTGGGTTCACCGTACTATTTCAGGGGTCAACGGGGATCGAACTGGCGTTTTTCAAATCTCGAATTGGTACTTAATCTGATTCATACAAATCATTGGGCTACATTTGCCTCAATACAAACATGATTTATTGGTTAAAGATTAAAGTGCATCTACTTAAAAAAATACTTTTATAGAAGATAACTTTTATGCTTACCGTATACCTTAGAAGCTTGTGGTCATTACGCTACCGACCGATCTACCCAAATTGGTTACGATTCAGATAAAAATTCATTGCGAAAGTCACAAACGTGGATTCGATCGGTGAAATAAAACACCGACAAAAACTTACCTCAATCTACAAGTCCGATTGAGGCACTGACAATATTTTTCTTCCGATAAGAGCCATCCATTTGCCGGGCAACTTTCGCCGTATCTCTAGGTGTTCCGATAACGCCTACGGAAACTTTGGGAAACAACCAACACAATAATCGAAGTCATCAATTGTGAGATAAACCTCTCATCCCGTCGACAAAACTCCGGCTAACTGAGTTTCAGGAATTTGCCGTAGTTGGACCTATGGATCGATCGGGAGTGGCAGCGGCGCGGTTTTAATTACAACACCAAATATAATATTATAGGTTCATAATATTCGGCTGGAGTGTTAGTGATTCGTGGTTGTCAGAACTGACATTGAGAAGTTGTTAATAACAATATCATTGCATTTTTTTAAACATTGGGTGAGGTAACTGTAAATAAGTAGATAGTAAATTAAATACTATGTTGAAAATCAATGTTTCTGCGCCTTATCAAGGAGAGAAACGGAGACTTTCTAAACTAATATTATATCAATTTCATAGGAATCATTAGTTAATAAGGTCAATCACAACTAAATTGATTCCCATTTTAGATTAAACATTTAAAAAGACTATCCAGCAGATTGTCGAGCGATTCATGAATTCGTCCCCGAGAAGCCTCGCGACCAACCCTTGATGGAGCTGGAATTTCAATAAGACAATCCATTTGTCTTGGGAAGATTTTTCATTAAAATAAACGAAATAACTAAGCCTTGAAATAAGGAGGACTGCTAATAAAATACGAATTCTGGTGTCGCGATAATTCGATTAGTTGAAAAGGGAAACCTATAAAATGTAATACTAATTTAAAGCTAGACTAGATTTAATCGAAATTGTAAAAACTAAGGTCGCCAAAAAATTTTGGCTACCTTGACGGCACATCAAACTACTATACGTATAATATCATAATCATAAGTAAGTAGGTAAGTATTTCTAATAAGGTAGTATTTTACAATATAAAAATTTATGTTCTGGCAAATATCTCCCATTTAATTTAGAAAATTCTCGTCGTGTTTATCTACCTCTATTTTGAACACCATTATAAATTGTAATGTGACATGCTCATGCAATAAACGTTTTAAAATTTGAATTGCTCATAAAGAATACCTAACTTATACCCATATCATTCGAACGACATACCTAAGTATAGCAGTTTGCATGATGCTATTTGACTGCTCTGATATGAGTAGTCAATAGTAATAGTTGATAGCACATCAGTTATTTTTGTTGCAAAGTAGCACCTATTAAGTACTACTTAAGATGCCACAGTGCTTAACTTGCCGAGCTGTTATCTGTATTTTAGCATGCAGTCATCACATTCACAATGTTGTTGAACTGCTAATCTATAACTTGATGTGTCTGTACCTCTGTGTATGTACTACCTAATGCTTTGGGGCTATTTCATTCACGGTACCTACAGGCCCGAAGAGGGGTTGTCAACCCATTAAATTGTTGTATAATATTTCCAGGGGTAGCACTTCGGAAAATATTTCGATTTCCCCGCTCCCCCCGTCTTTATTAAATTGTCCCCGCAACTTTTCTCATCGCCCCCGCTCCGGTCTTCACTTTGTTGTTCGACATTTTTATTCGAGTTTCCTCGCTATTTTGGGAAGTTAAACACGTTATTATAGTCCGGGGCTACTTTGGACGTGTTTAGCTTTTACTCTAAAATAGCAATTTGGCTGCTAGCAACTTCGAGCGGAAAAACACTCATTATGATGATGCAAAGAGCACAAATTTCAACGTTGACAACTAAACGAAAAAGTCTTCAAGCTTAGCAATTTCAAACATGATGTAAAATATTTTGTAGATGACGAAGATATTGTCATAGTTATTTACTTACCTAGCAAAGATGGCGTCAATTTCAATTAAATTCTATTGGGGTTGGGGTTTGAAGAAAGTATTTGACGCTATTAAGTTTTTAACATATTATTCGAAACCTACGTCTGATTTTCGTTTTCTAAGCATTGAGAAACGACTTTCCTTTTATTTTGATATTTCTAGAACGATGTTTCATTATAATCAGCTGTTAATTTCGAGTATGTATCATAAGTCTAATTATTAGGTATTATTTTAATATACCCTGAAACCACGAGAGTAATTCACGAGAATCTTGGCTTAATAAAGACTGACGGATAGGCTTCAACACACCTGGAAATATTAAATTGTATACCTTGCTTCTGAGAAATCATTTGAAAAATTACATTTTATTAAAGGAAAATTGAGACATTCTCAAAATATATTAATTTTCACTCATTTCCTCTGAAAATATTTCTGGCTGGCTGAAATTAGTCCTGTATGTAGAGGTTTATAATAAACTCGTAGATACAGTCAGCGTCAAATAATTCGTGACACTCAATCAATTTTATTCTAATTTGTAACAAAGACGTGTTGCTAACTTTTTGACTATTTTGGGTATCACCAACTATTTGACGCTGACTTTATTTGTAGGTAGTTAAAATTGAGATTCCAGCATCATAACATGGGCCTGTAGCTGCATTGATCACCAAGTTCGTGTTAGGTGTGTTCAATGGGCATGACGTGGTCGTCAACGTTAACGGGCTGTCTCGCATATTATCCCTTATTCAAACGCGAGCTGGTATGCATTTTTTTTACAAAGTTGAAGTGGATTTTGGGTAATTGTGGGTCACTTATTTCATATTTTTGATCAAAATTTATAAAAAAATAGGGGAAGGGGTAGTTTTTTGGGTGGTAAATAATTTACCATTATCCATTCATGACTACAAATTATTAGATGTTGGTGGTAAAATAGTTACCATTGTCCGTTTTGGTTTATTTTTGGTTCTTGACTAGTGAATTCCTCTTGGTTCTGCCTATATTTTATTAAATATTTTGGGAATGAAATAAATTTATTGTTTAAAAAAAAATATATTGATTAATATTAGTTAATATGCTTACAATTAGGATGCTTACCTTGAGTCTGAAACTAACAATTCACTAATTACGTAACGTCAAAACGTTACGTAAATAGTTATCAAAATAACTTAAAATTTCTCCAAATATTTATTTAGTTTTATTTGTGCACATACAAAAAACAACAGTTTTTTTTATATATCATCAGACTTTTGTCAAGACGGGATCGGACAATGGTAAACTATTTACCACTTCTTTAAAATGTCTATATTATATGAATAAATCAATTGCAGACGTTGCCTATAAGAGAGATTATACAATAAATGTTATAGTTTAGGAATTTGAATCGAAAAAACACTTATCAGAATTTTCGTTGAACAAAGTTTCAAAAATACTAAAAACGCGCGCTAAAAACTTGAAATTTTTCACACCAAAACCGTTTGGTTGACTTTGACATTATCTGACAGTGACAAATGACGTTGAAAAGTTGTAAAATGGCATAGATAAGTAAAACAATATATTTAAAAATATAAATAAGTGACCAAGATATCTTTAAGTATTACCATATCGAAAATTAGGATCCTTTTTTAAAAGTAAACAAAGTGGTAATATATCTACCTTTATTTGAATAAGGGTTATTATGGACGGTGATACAAAGCTGCCGAATCGCCAAATGAATTGACCATTGACTGACGTCTGACATTGTTAAACGGGCTGGATGAATGTGCGACCACAAACGGAGGCGTTCGTGTTTGAAGCATGAAAGACTCAATTATGTATACGTACCTATAACTCGTTTAATGGTTACGATTACAGATAAACATTTTCATAAACTAAATAGGGATTTAAAATCATGTTTAGCCTTTCGTTACAATCACAGATTTTTACTGCAAGTTGGTGTAAGTATGAGACTCAAATGAGAAGTAGGTATTTGAATAGTTTTTTTTTTATTATTAGGAAAACAAACAACATTCTATAACACACATAGAGGGAAATAGCGTAAACGCATCCTATGCACAAAACTGGTGACGTCATAACCAATTTATTCTGAATGCTTATTTACTTTAAATTGAATTTCGGTAAAAACCACGATCATTATTCATTAACTGTCAATTAGGCTTTTAAAAAGCGTTTTTACGTCCCATTTGAACTCTACCACTGCCTCAGGACAATAATGTGCGTGTGAAAATCGGTTACTAGTCTTTCTTTTAATAAAAGTTTCAAAGTTTACAGAAGAGTGCAAAATTGGGGGAGGCCTATGTTCAGTAGTGGACGTCCTATGGCTGATAATATGATGATGATGATGATGATGAACATTCATTAACAGAAGGTATTGTCAACAGACACAGGCGACCTGCTGGTGACCCCAGAGAACGGATACGAGTGGGGCGGGCAGCCGATCGCTCGCGCGCCCACCGGCAAGGCGGCGGCCAACGCCATCAACATCATCAACGCCGTGCTGATGAGGAAGAGCGCCGTTGCACAGCTCACCAAGTACGTTATAGCTTTTTTATAGAATAAGGCTGGGTTGCGTCACCTTACTTTAACTTTGACAAACGTCAAAAATCTGTCAAACTCCATAAAAAAGCACCGGTTGTCGTCATAGTTACCGTCAAAGTTAGGTGGGGCAACTCAGCCTAAGTATTAGTAATTTATGCAATATAAATAGTCCCATCAACATGCTTCAAATACGCTTGTGTTACTAGAGTAGACTATTTAAGTCCAGTGGCGGCAGGGTTCGAACTATCGTTAATTGTATTTCGAGTCAGCCAGTCCAACACTTTACCGTTGGGCTCTTTTTGAATTCAAATTCATTATTGGTGTGTAGGCCCTGAGAAGGGCCCTTTTATTGTGGCTCTTTTGTCGAATGAAAAAATAGAAGCATAGTTTGCCCTTCATACTCTATTTGGCCTGCAACAAACTATCTATGGGCGACGGTAATCACTTACCATCAGGTGATCCGTCTGCTCGTTTGCCTCCTGTCACAAAAGAAATTGACCCTACAGACATTTAAGAGACCGAGCATTTTTCGACTTTATAGAGTGATCGTTAAAGAAGTTAAATTAATTTTCGTATTTGTTTATATTTTAATAATTTTCGTATTATTCGTGTTAAATTAATTTTGGAAATGAGAAAAGGCTAATTAGGTAGCGGTTACTGAAGCTAAAGTTATGGTGATCCATACCAGGCGTCCTTAATGCGCTATATTAATTTTGTGTATGAATAATTCCACAATATTAGACACACCGAATTCACGTGCGCTCGGATAGCTTAGTTAATATTCAGTGTCTGTCTCGCAATCATAGCCTTTATTAGTTATGTATAAATTATTAACCTCGTATGAACTGTGCCGAAAATAGTCCTTTGTCTCAATAATAATTATCATACAGCAAATTACACATCTTAATGTAACTTGAAGCACTGGAGTGTAGATATTAAATGTCAAATTTAGTTAAATAGAGGTTGAGAAATTAATTCAATTGCGAGACGTACTTAAGTACGTACATACTGCATTGTAAGTAAAGCATTGAAACTATGTTCAAATACTCGAACCAAATTCGAGTAAAGTTTCAAGTCTGTTATTAGTTTCAGCACTGAAAATAACATTCACATAATACTGTAGCATTTTAAATATATTTGTAATATTGTATGAGTATGATTTTATTGCAAAATTATACCGATGTGTGGTTTTAAAACACTGGGCGGTGGAAAAAAGTACTTAGCCTAGCTATGAAAAATATAAATTAAATTAATATGTTGATTCACAAACTTCGACACTAAAAAATAATCTCTACACTTGCTTATATGTATAAAGAATCTGTTATTTCAGTCAAGACGAACTAACAAATCGGTATTAATGAAATTCTTTTGTCTAGATATGACCTGATGCTCGGCGTGACCAAAGCAGAAGCGTACTTCGCGTTCAGTGGAGACGACGTACAGTACGGCATAGAAGCGGACAGAAGGTCCAAGATCCTGAAGTCCTTTGTCAGGAACACGTACAGCTACCACCTGTCGGAGATCCTGGCTACCATAATCAACGAGTATACGGACTGGGAGCGGCCTGTGCAGCACCCAATTAATATTAGGTAAGAATACATTATGATCCGCCGTGTGGTGACGGCAGAGTAGAATACATTTGTCACCAACCCCTACTCTTCCCACGGATGTCGTAAGAGGCGACCTAGGGACTACACATCAAACAGAGAACGGGCAGCAGCGCTCTCTTTTTTTTACTTTTTGACATCAATCTTTTAAACTGCGATCTCCAACCCGCCTGCCAAGCGAGGGGATTATGGCAAACACTCCACTATAGTGGAGGAGGCTTATAGTTCAGCAGTAGACTGTAAGGCTGGTTTTAGTGTCACGCGGACTGTCAGTGCGGATCGCTCCGCACAGCCGATCTGTGTAAAATGCTAGGGAGCGGAGCCCATTACTCTAAAACGCTCTACACACTAAAACCAACCTTAAGGGCTGTTGATGATGATGAAGGATAAGTTATGAGCACAGATATAGATCGTTTCATCCACGAAGACGCGCCCCATCAATTTTGGTCGAGGGAAGCGCGGGGTGCGGTGAGTTAGATCCGAGCAATCCGAGCGTCATTATTGTAGTGTGCGTGTGCACTCATGTATAATTTAGCGTGTGTCGATAACACTCAAACACTAGCGGAAGAATAGAGAAGCGCCTCTTCATGGATGAAAAAAATATACAAATACGCTATTACTTATGGCCCCGCCTGCCACGAGTCTGCGTCAAATAGGTATAGTAAAATATTTGAAAAAAACAAATGTTCTATTTTAGTTAGCAAAACTATTTACCATAGTATAATTACTCTGTGTGCCACCAGCTTAACGCTACATAAACAAAGCAAAAAGATAACTTTGTACAACCAAAAACAACATTACAGCGAAATTTCGCTTTTCATTACAATTGTCTGTGCAAACAACGCGGGAGTGATTCCAGTATCTCATTTTTCACGGAGTTCATTGTTTGTTGTTCATAAACAAATGAAACGCGAAATCGAAAGCGTGCACTTCCCAATTATTAATTAACATCAGGTGAAGGTTTTAAGTGTTCAATTATAGTTTACGTTGACATATTTATGCGCTGCTGCAGTGGCGTGAAGCCAAGAATAACCGAACAACAATATTTCTTTCGTACTTTATTTTTTGCGCCATATTGGTGATGCGACGACGTCAACTTATCGTATCGATATTCATTATGATCAAAACGTTTAAATTTTGTATGTAATTTTGATTTATTTATCTAGATTGAATTTGTATCAAAGATGAGTACGGCTGTAAGTACGGCTCCGGAATAGAGACCTAATTTTATCATTAGACAACTGTAACTTATTAAAACTCGCATAAAACGACTTGTGCCAATAAGTGGTAGTGATGGTGATAAAGACAATAATGCGATTGAGCTTTGTCAGACTTCATTTAGTCAGCCACACGATAGAAGTGATGGATACTATCTGGTGATCCATACATACAACGCTAGACGATAAATAAACCAAAAGTAGAGTACAATAAGCACATCACTATTCAGTTTGTCAACTTAATTTCGGTTACCATTTTCCAGCTGTTATAAAAGTATAAAATTATTAAGCTGAAGACAGTTTAAGAACTAACATAATTTTGTTTTAAAGTAGACAGTCTACTTCTTTCTTTTCAGGGCACTTAAACACGTCCCAAAAATAGCTTGCCCTACAGTAGTAGGGACAACCATATCGGCTGGTGCTCAGAAGAAGTCTCGGAAGAAAATCAACTTAGTCAGCCTTTTATTTTCTCTATCTTATACAGATGTACTAAGACAGATTTTGTTGTCACCAGGGACGAAACGCTAGAAGCGCTAAGCGACGCGCAAGTGGTCGCGCCTATAGTGCTGACTGCGGATACACACTCGGCGTTGCGAAGAAACTCGTATCTGTACGTGTTCGACTACCAGACGAAATACGGAGACTACCCTCAGGTAAGTTTCAATAACTTCTAACTTTACAGAGCCCGCGCCCGTATATTCGGATTTACGGGATTTCCCCTTACTAATAAAAATTACACGCTCGTTGAACCGTGTTTTAAAGTAACGTTTATTATGGAAATGTCATTTTAAAACAGTGTTCAACAACTGTGTAACTTTTTAATAGTAAGGGTGTTAGAATTTTATTTATAATAATTTTCAAGAAAACCATGAAATGGTATGAATAATAATCGACAGGGGAATAAAACTGATATTTTTGTTTGAATTATAATTAAATAATATTGAATCTGGGTTATGGCTCTAAATTATTTATTGAAGATCGCAATTTTAAGTTTTATTTCAGACAGAAGCCTGTATTTTGTGTACCTTAACGAACATTATTTTCTGACTTTTTCACCTACAAAGGACGGCTTAAATTCACTACATAATTTTTACTCCGAACAAAACAAAATAAAATCGACTTCTCTCAAAATTAGAGTTGGAAAATTGTATTATCGATCTTTTGATCTCTTTTCTTGCCTACTTGCCCCAACTACTATTGAATTGAGGACTAAATGTCAAGAATACTTTACTAATAAAGCCAAATATTCAGATCGCTTTGGAATATTCGAGAATACCTCGCATTTTTTGTACCTTAACTAATCTTAAACAGATAATGCGGGGCTTCTGAGAAATAATTGAAAGCAGCTCTTTATTCTTAGATTATTTTATAAAAGGGTTTAAGAGTACTAGAGATATTAGGTATTCTATTGTGCCAGTAATGTTTTCAGCGAACTTTACATTATAGACGGGATAAAAATAGATTTGAGATTGTCTGAGTGTGATATGAGTATTTATTAATTGTCCTGATTATTATTGTGCTAGACAGCTTTGCTATGTTTTAGGATGCCTTTTTTCTATGATTATGGAGAAAAATAGGTTTTAAAACGAAAATTTGGATTTATCATTGGAAACAAATATGCGGCTGTACACTGAATAGCGATGGATATAGTAGCTTCATTAGATATGATGTAGCTTCAACTTGAAATAAAAAATTTGTCTTAGAAGATACATTATGGATGCCAAGTATCAAATTGTTTGTGGAATAAACGAATTGGACTATTGCCCGTTTTCACCATCAATCCCTAATTTTTAAGTGACCCCTAAGGTAACCCATAACAGGAAATTTGTTTTAATAGAGATTGATGGTGAATACGGGCGTATGACTAATAGGTGTCATGGGTAGTCTTAATTACATACATTAGTAATAAGACTACTAGTTAAATGCCAATAACAGCAGCAGTATCAACTAAACTGGTTGCACATAATGATTGCTTCTCTAATTAACTTCCAATTACTGCAACAGCCATGGGACACCCTGTAATTACCCACGATTTTCGACGAACCACAGCGTAAAATTAACGAACAGATCACGGAAAATGGAAAAGAAGAAAATAGTTTTTGTAAGATCTCCTGTTGAAAATTTTACAAAGACGTTATCTGTATTATGTCCTTTTAGATTTTTTTTGAAAAGGGTTCTGAATCTAGCTTAAATAAAAAAGCTAAAAGTATTCCAATCAGAATTATTCGTGAAGTGTAAATTTAAATTACCTCCCTACCTAGCCTACTCACATTTAATTTTTTATTTTATTTTTTGCTATACCAGCGTAAAAAGTCCGTACTATCTGTTCAATCCTTTACATCCCACGGTCTCCGATTTTCAACGATCGACTAACTTCATTTTGAGCGTAGTAATTGCGGCCAATTAAGCCTGGCCCCTCTCCCGGCGGCGTCGCCTCCGGCGCGGGGGCCAGCGCTGGCCGGCAGCGGGCCCTGTTATTAATACGAGGAACTTACCTCCGCTCGCTAACGAGACAGTCGGTTCGGACTGGCAACAAATTGCTGTGGAAGCTAACTTTTGCCAAAAGTCCTTGTTAAACTATCAGATGTGCGACATTTGCTAATTCACCGTTTAAAAATGATGTCCGATGTTTACTTTGGCACCACTTACGTACAATTTCACCTACTCTACTCTACACATTTATTACTAGCAGTGCCCGCGACTTCGTACGCGTGAAAATCATTTTTGCTACGCACTTATAACTCGTAGCGTGATGGTATATTTTTTTAAGCATGACAAGGCAGGTATTTGACCACAATCGCACCTGCCTTTCTCGATAAATTGGCTATATAACACTGAAATATTTTTTCAAATCGGACCGGTAGATAAGCGAGTTCAAGTAAACAAACTCTTCAGCTTTATAATATTAGTATAGATAAAATACCCATTGTTAAAATATTGAACTGTATGAATAAGATGTAAAATATTTCAATAAAGTGGGAATAAATGAAATCTTACCTTCCCGTACATGTTGTACCTGAAAAGAAAAAATGAAAATTATTAATTAAAGCATATTATTATGTTTAACAATATTGGTAAATCTCATGCAAACATTAATGTATTTCAAACACTAAATGCCACACGTGCAAAAAATATAATATAACAAGAAAGATTAATAAAGTGTTTTCTTCTAACAGCGACAAGGCTGCATTCACGGTGAGGAGCTGCCGTACATATTCGGAGCACCCCTGGTGGGAGGTCTAGCTCACTTCTCAAGGAACTACACTAAGGCCGAAGTATCGCTGTCCGAGTCAGTCATGCTGTACTGGGGAAACTTTGCTAAAACTGGGTAAGATATGGTTTAGAAAGCTAGAAGTATATAGCTCGTAGTAAAGATCCGAAAATAGATGATCAAAAATCTCGTTTTATAATAAAGCATAAAACAGTTGATTTTTCTTTGTTTAGGAACCCAAATGAAGCTCAAGAAAGCGACCCGATAAGAGCTGGAAGACAAGAAAGAGTTCGGATGAAGAACATCGAATGGACTGCGTATGAAGCTGTCCACAAGAAATACCTCAACATTGACACTAAATCCAAATTGAAGAATCATTACAGAGCTCACAGGTTAGTAAAAGTGACAAAAAAGTCACAGGTAATCACAATTGCAAAGATTCTTATGATCTCATTGTTCGCAGACTCTCATTCTGGCTGAATTTAGTCCCAGACCTCCATCGCCCAGGAGGTGATGACGTACCCTCGTCTCATCACCAGCTTGAACACGAAGACGCATCACCGCAACCTACTCTAAAAACATTCAGTCCTCCTTTCAAGAAGACGACCGATGTTATCATCGATTCAGGTCTTGCGACCAAAGTGCCAGTTCTAAGTGTTTTAAATATAACTTCCCCATTGAATTTCAACATTATTGGTCTGAATCCACCAACGCAAAGTACTGTTAGTACTGATGTACATAAAGATTTATCCGCCACATCGCCTCCTGAAGATGGGTTTGCAGCGTACTCCACTGCTCTTAGCGTGACAATTGCTATTGGGTGTTCGTTACTGATACTAAACGTTCTCATCTTTGCTGGAGTGTACTACCAGAGGGACAAAACGAGAATGAACGGCCAAGATGGTCATGCAAATGGCTCGCATTTAAAAAAACGTGCAGAGAATGGACAGATGCCGAACAACATTTGTGGTGATTTAGAAGGAGCATTAACGTACCAGACCAGTTTAAAAAACGATCCAGCTACGATTTTGAGTCATCATCATACGCATTCTCATCATCAGCTACCTCCCCCGGAGTTTGCTGATCTTCCAAGCAATAACGTGGCGGGAATGGCAACGCTGCCAAGGGCGCCACCTCCTCCAAAGCTCGGTAAGAGTAATATAAATACTCTAGCGAGTGGCCAGTTGCAAGAGAACCAGCCGTTGCTGTCCGCGCATCAAATGCAGATGATCAACACGAGTACACTCACGAAGAAGAACACCCAACTGAACGCGAAGTCCAACGTCACAATGGAGGAGTTGAGAGTGTGACGTCAGAGGGCCTGACTGCAACGGGCTGGCAGTTGCAGCGACGTCGCCCATCACGATGAGATCGTGTGACTTGGGCCGGACCTTCTCAAGTGTGTGACGGACTACATTTAAACTTTTTAGACTGTCCCGTGCCACTTGCGTTTAGAAGGCATTATAATAGTGAAGTGACTTGAACTAAAGTTTAATCATATCCGTATAGTAAAGACGCCAGTGGGTGAATTTAAAGTGTTAATAGTGTAGCGGACGAAATGAAATTATGTAACGTTGTAAATTATTGTAAATATTATACTAATGTGAAAATTGTATATAATTCAGCAGCTCAGCCGCATATCCATCCTAATTACAATTGTAATCTTGAAAATAGGGAAATTGTAAGATATGTGATGAACAACTTCAGTCTAGGCAGCATTGAGGCGCGAGGCGTGCAATCTGTTTGACTGAAATAAATTAATGAATTGAAAAATTTAGGAAATAATGTAAGTTAACGAGACACCAAAATTATCGTCGCATTGATTTGTCAAGTTAGAAGCAATAACAATCCATCGATAAGAAATTTTTAGTGTCTCCGAGTGTACTCTACTGATCAATCGATTATCAAGATCTGTCTATTTTAGCAAGAATGTCATGAAGGAATTGGAGAATTTTTTCTATAATACAATAACTCTCTTGTATACTGTTGACTCGAAACTTTTGGCGAGAGGAGAACCATAGTGATCCAGTCACTTTAAAGGATTTGCCACTTGTTCTGCGGTCAGGTTTTCATTGGTCGGTCTCTACACATTATTAATATGTATTGATGCGATGTCAGATCGCACGCGGACACGAGCAAAGAACGCAAACTGACAAGTGCGTTCTGCATTCATTTGACCTGACTGCATCCAGTGTCATATGCTTAAAGGCAATTTAACATTTGTGAACTTCACAAGTTAGCTCTCATTATAAGGTCGCTATGGTTGTAAACTCATCATTTAGCTATAAAAGACTTATCTGATGATGATTAACCGGTAGACGTTTGTAATTTTTTTCTTAACATAGACGGACCAATAGCGTTTGTAAATATGTACATAGAGTTAGGAAACGGTGTAACAGGTTGTAATGATCCTCGGTTTCATCACACCACGACTGAGCCCGAAAGTATCGTTGTTTCCCCTATTTATTGTGATTTGTGTACTGTGATCTATAATTGTATAATTTTCATGGTGTTCTCTATTCATGTATTAGGTGAAACCTTTTAATTTCGTCTGTAGAAGCAGCTGAAATTTCAAACGTGTGTAGAAAAATGCAGAAGACCTTTGAATGTTGACTTATTTTGAAAAATAAATTACTTTTACTATGTTTGTAGACAAAATCATGACTACTAGTAAAATAAATATTAAATTGTAAACTCATGGTAAAGTTATAGAATCATCAACTAAAATAAAGTAAGCGTCATTATTTTTGATAGTTACGTTCGCTATGTTTTGAACCTCTGACGTAGACCCTTTAAGTATGTTTTTCTAACGATAATTGAGTAAGATTGTGAATTGACGTCGAATGATGTTTGTTTAAAACCCGTGCACAATTTTTTTAACTAGTCTAATAGAAGTCTCGACTTCGAAATAACGTACTTACCGAAATACAGATTAAACATTTTAATAAAACAAAATGAAAACTAACGAGTTGTTTTATTTAACCACGTTACTAATATTCTGAGATAAATGGAAATCACGAGCGAGTAAAACTTGAATTAGACATTCCGTCCACACATAGTATTAAATAAGGTGTAGAATATTGATATTAAGACTATTACATAACAATGTTGACAATTATTATCTTAGGCCCAGAACAGACGGTGAAACACAACTGCAACGAAACTGCAACTGCTAGTTACTTTTGAGTTGCATCTAAGTTTCTGCCATAGCGTCCGTTGAGAGACCGAACATGTCGCGACCAGTTTGAAAGTTTCAGTTTCATTCATCAGAATCAGTTGCAGTTTCGTTTCACCGTCTGTTCTGGGCCTTAGGGAAAAATCAGAGCTACCTATAAAGGTTGCACTAAAAATAACTCGCTTGGTTAAACGATTTTTTTATACAAGATTGACTACCTTTGAATCGAATACGATGGTATGAAGATACTACCTATAATGTTTTGATATATTGTGGCCAAAAGCTCTAAAGAGGTGCATTTTTAAAAAGCTTATGCTAAGTCGATATGCATTTCCCTCCAAAAGCTAGAGTGTTAATTCCAACTCAGCTAATTTGTGCACTCGCCGGTAAAATGACTCTCAACACCTGTTCCAAGTCCCAGCTCCGCTTGACAGTTAACTACTAAGTGACATGCAACTCTTGGGTACTTCACTTGATACGGATCGCGACGCTAATAACTGCTCGAGTTGGTTATCGCAGACACATTTTATTGGGGCATTAAAATTTAAGTGGTGTTGGATGATTTGTTTGTTTTCGAGGGTGAAATTGTGGTAAGTATTTTTTTGCTTATCTTTGAATGAGTAAGTATTAGACGCCGTTTGTTAAAAACATAATTGCTGTGATAATCATTTTGTAATTTAGTCTGAAATAAAGTAGAGCTTGTATTATGGCAGCCAGTTAACGGATAAGTATGAGTTAGTATGTATTATTTTGAATCCTTACAAAGTATAAAACAAAGTCGCTCCCGCTGTCTGTATTTTAAGCTACGCAACAGATTTTAACGCAGTTTTCAGTAGTAGATGAGTAATTAATGGAAAAGGTTTAGAATAGTACACAGTACCCGTACATAGCTGAAGCGGGTCGCTAGCATGTAATAATCTGTGGATAAATGCTCATTATACAACATTTGCCCCGAGCAAAACTCAAACCCATAATAGAAAAATAAAATCAAGTATGCGATACACCAGCTTGAGCGACCCTCGAAAAATATGTTTAAAGGTATGTATTTATAGAAATCACCTAGGTAGGTACGAGTAACTGAACTGTTTAATTTCTAAATGGGTTTAATCATCTGAATATCGAGTCTAAAATATAACAGAAAGAATTTATTCAACATAGGAGTCTCGCAAGCTCACCGTTTTTTGACTTAGCTTAATGTTCCAACTCATTGATCAACATCAGTATTATTCATACAATTACAATATTTATTCAGAAATATATCTTCGTTCTCGCTGAGTTCGAGTCACGAAAGCATAAATATGAAATTATTTACATTCGAGATCTATCTGGAAGAGTATTCAGATGTCAAAATGAAGCTAGAAATATTAAGGAGCTACAGAAACATGTAGCATTAATATAGTCTTCCTACACTAAACCCGCCGACATGAGTCGTCGACTTTTGACATGTTGCCGAAAGTTATAGAAAATCTATGTCATTGACATGATTTCAAATAAAGCCACTGACATTAAGAGTAGGCGCACACCGTTGATTTTTTATCGGCCGATAGTTTAGTCAGGCAGTTGATCAGTATGGGCATGTATAGGAGTGTGCGCACACTACGCCGATTCGATTTGGCCGATTCTTCATATAAATTAAAATCGGGCACAACTATCGGCCAACTAAAAATCAACGGTGTGCGCCTACTCTAAGCTGCCGGGATGTTCACGGGCATGGTATGAATACTCCTGCCGACAAATCATTAAACAGATTTAAGTTAATAATTCCAGTATTTTCCTTTTCTTAATCAGAAAACGGTTTGGGAATTTTAGGATTGTTGCCACTTCTGATAATAATGAGTGGAAAATTAATGCACATAGCTTACAAACCACTACAAAATCAATTTGCTAAGAAACCCACACCAGCACACAGCAAAGCTTGCGGCTTATTTAACAAAGTTCGAACTCTAGAACTATAGTACAACATAGCTTTACACACGTTAATAATACATGCTGATTTTACTGTGTTACTGGTGCTTCTACTGTTGTACTTTTAATATTGGCGCGGTCGGATTGGACTATCCCTACCTGACTGACAATGGTTCGATTCTCAATATAGACTTTACAGATTTGAATTAAAAATTGTTTAAATCGTTTAATTAAGAGCCTAACTACACAAGATGATCCACAGTAACTACATGAGTATATTTTATGCATTACTTACTTAAAATTACTTGTTAATTTGTTGGTGACAAACATTTTTTTTTCTAACCCAATGACACAGCTAAAATACTGAACCAAATGAGAAAGTAATTAGCAAACCACATCTTAAGTTCAAAACGCAATTTGTTATCATTGTAATTTAATACCAAATAATAATTTCATAAGTTTCTTGTATTTAGGATAAGTTTTTATTCAATAAATGGCAATGCCAGATTTTGTATGGAAGGTGGCGTCTTTTTTTTTCGCGCGGCCATCGAACAGACTTTATTTTTTGATTACAAAATAGTGTAATAAACCAAACTTATTACAGCATGTAAGTATACCTCTAAACTCAGTCTGAACTGAGTTACGAGCATTAGAAGTTTGATGATTTTCATACTAGATTTGCTTTTTGCGCGCAAGTTTTGTAAGAAATTGCCTGTACCAGCACATAATAGAGGAGTCTTGAAACATCTTTAAAAGTATAAACTAACTCCCCCACCCACCATAAGTCGAAGCACGGCTGAAGTTTTCAGTTTAAACACACGTGCATCGCAGCTTAGTTATATTGTTGCAAAAGATTGTATTTTCAATGAGACGTAAAATGAAAACAGTTAATTATGAAAACTAAAAGACTTGGGAAACTATACTCGCACTATACGAGAAACTACTTATGTTGCGAATAAGGGAGAACACGAAAATGAGCGCAAAAAGCTAAGTTGTTTTCGCGCCAGCTTGTTGAGAGGTTAGGTCAGCCTTTTTGTAAGGAAATAGGAATGTCCCTGTGTTTGTTTATCGATGATCGATAAAAATAATTGTGGAAAGTAATAATAAGAAATTATGGTAATTAATTAATATATTTTACAGAATAACAACAACACAAACCACTAGAGAATTGAGATAGGATTACATAATTTTAGTTAGCTTTCCAAATCAGGTATTTCATTAATTATGTAGGTAAGGCTCTGTAGTAAAATTAGTAAAATTTCATTATGTAAATGGGAAATGGAACCACAATTAACACTGATTGAATGATGTTTAATTATCAGCTAACTGACACCGCAGTTAACGCAGATATCCTTTTCATTTAACAATAGGTTCGACGTAAATTTTAGTCTCGTAAATATTGGCGATTGAAAAAAACACAAACATTAAGAATATGGCTGATAAAACGTTACTTGTAAAATGAATAGAGCTTAAAACCACTAATGCCAATCAGAATTAGATAACATAATTATTAAATAGGTAGTTTTTTTTTTACAAGACAAGGCAAGTATTTTGACCACAATCGCACCTGGTGTTTAGTGAGATGTAGTTTAGGATGGTAATCTGCCCTGTAAGTGGCTATACATACACTCTCGCCTTGAAAAGGCCCGGATTAAAGTGTTCAGGAAAGGCAGCAGCACGCACGGGTGCATCGATGTCGATATAATTTTACACACATCTCTTCTTGAAATTAAAATTTTCGGCACCCATAGCGGATCCGGGTTGCTCCGGTA